GGGGTCAGGTTGTTCACATGTGGTGCCGGTTCGCCGAGTGGCACGCCGAAGGTGTCCATGTAGGAAGCCACGTCCATCCAGAGAGTGGCGGTGTGTTTGGTCAAGGTCAGAGACGAGAGCGGAGAGTTCCGAGGAACCGGAAACAGGGGGAAGAATGTGGAAGGAGAGCGAGTAGTAAGGCCGTCGGGTATGAGCCACCGCACCGACTGTTAGGCGCCTCCCCCTCATCACCACCAGACGTTATCACCTCCAAGGACCTGCTTCTGCTGTGCTTTAAGAGACCCTGCACTCGAAGATACCTTGACTCCCCCTACTTAAAAAAAAGAGAAGAAAACATTCCATCAGGAACCTCGTGACTCCAAAGGTTACACACTTATAGAAATGCATACTGACTTGACAGCGGTGCCACACGCCAGCCTAAGTGAAAACCTAAGAAAACCAGGACAGATAAAGTACGGGTTCCAAACCACTCAAAGCCTACATGGCCTCCAACTCCAAATCGACAAATCCAAAGTGACAATGCACATCTGCCGATGACGAACCGATGCAAAGGCTGGACGTCTTGTTCTAGCTACAAGCAGGGCCCACGATGAAATTTCTCAAGTAAAACTGCAGGGACGTCTGGCTGATCAGGCCAGATATCAGCACGGAACTTGACCCTCGGAAATGCTGAAGTGCCCTGCTGTAGCACTCCCGTGCCACGAAGTATTGGCGAGTGGACGAGTCATCAATGCGTCCATCGTTGCCCAAAACTGGGTAAGTAGTCGCCCTCACTTTGGTCCCTCCATGAGCTGGGGCGACACCGTTCTCACTCCCCTACACCGGCACACACCACCAGCCATCGCAGCAGGACACGCACACATGCGAACAGCTCACCATTCCCCCCACGCGCGCGCACCGTCACACCACTCACCCGAACCAGCCCATCGCAACTACCTCAGCCCCACGTCGTACTTCTGTGGACTGGAGTCAAAGCCCTAGATGACTGATGGTCACTGTCTATATCAGACTTGGACTTAGCACTTAGCGCAGCATTGCAAATCATGCACTGTAGTAATAGCAGGAGTAGTCTGGATGTCTAGAGTCTCTAGAGGAGCAAAATGAGGGATTTGCGCTGGGCGAAGACAGGTCGCCGATCCATGATCCCTTCAACTCGGGAGAGGTGCTGCAAGAAATGTTTCATGTGGTTGTTCCATTGAGTAGCAGGCAATCGTCGAAGAGAGGCTGATAGAAGGCGAACAAGCTCAGTCGAGCAACTCTCAGATTAGTGCAGCAGGTGGGTGGCATAGTTCCCAATTGGGTGGACGATCACGATCATCAACTACATTTGACGATGAGGCTGGATGAGTTGCAGCAGTCGCTCCCAGGCCTGAAAGGTGTGATTGCGCATGGAAACCCACAATGAACTGCTGAGGAGCTGGACTGAGGCGAAGTTCAGGAAAGCCACCAATACGGAGAGGATGAGCTCGTTTGCCTCAAGGGTTTCGAAACTGGTGCCGCGAGGTTGCCGCCGAATGTTCCATCTCGGATCCTGTGTAGGTGTGGCCGGTTGCTCAGGTCGAGCATCTTGTGAGCGCGAGCAGGGTTATCAGACAGTGTGGAATGTCGTCTTGGAAAGGGAAGTGGAGAGGTCAGGGTTCTCGCGGGTGGTAGGTGTGCGGGGAGGTGCGTCAAGTCGTGGTGTTGCCGGAGGTGGGAGGTGGTTGTGGTGGAGATTGCGGAACCTGAGGGTGGAAGGTCGTGGTGGGTTGTGTGGGAAGGATCAAAGCCCGAAAGTAGAAAGGAAAGGGGTTGAAGAATAGAAGTTGCCGATGGGCAGGGTGTAGTGATGGTTGGAGTTGATGTTGTTGTTGAAACTGTTGGCGTAGGTGACGAAGTTCTTGTTGCCGGTGGAGGAGCGTCTGTATTGGTGAAAGCTTTTGTGGAGGTGTAGTTGGTCGAGATGGTGTGCCGTCGGGGTCAGGCGTGGTATTCGGCAAAGTGGCTGCATCCCCAGGTCCAGGAGTCCATCATAGTCATCCGGGGCACCTGGACCACCACAGTGGCGGTCCAGGTGCCGCGGATGAAGTCCGTTCTGAGGCCGGCCGAGTCGATGGAGCCGGAGTTGTGGGAGCCGGTGAGCGACGGTTTGTGGGGGTGCGGCTGCGCCGAGGGGTGTTTTTGTGGATCGATCGTCGAGAATTTCTGGAGCCACGTCGCTCATGCCTGGAGGGAGTGCGGCGACGATCTGTTGTTGGCGGCGAGAATCTCGGGCACGATCACGGTCCCGATCAGAGCGTCGTACCCGGCTGCGTTCTCGGGCCCTTGAGGAGGAGCGGTGATCACGATGACTCCCGCAAGAACGGTGATGTCACGTGGATGATGCTCACGTACACCGTCCGTCGATCGTGAGATATAGGTAATGATCACGAGAGGAAGGTGGTCGATCGTTGTGTGGATGGGTTCGAGGGCGTGGTGATGGGCGACGACGTGGCTGAAGAGGTAGAACTGGGCCCGGAGCTCGGACAGGTGGTCCTTGACCTGGATTGAGCTGTGTAGGTGGTGTGGGAGGGAATGGTGGTCGGTTCATAGGAGCTCGAGGTGTGCGTACTCGAACTGGTCCAGGATGAGCTCGAGGTCGAAAAGCGAGACTTGGTCGAGGGACGGAAATCTGTGGTGATTCAACAGCCATGGGTGGAGTGCCCGAAGCAGCCGCTATAGGGGCAGCAGGTGGAGTGTCAGTATAGGTTCAGTGTCCGGAACAATCTCAGTGCCTGGCGCGGGATGAGTCGGAGCTACCTCGTCGGCGTCATAGTCCGGAGCATCAGTGTGAGTCAGCTGGTAGAGCAATCACGGGATCTGGAGGACCCCGGATGGCCAATGGGTCGGCGTCGGCGACTGTGTGAGGAGTCCGAGGAAGCGCGACGATCCATTGCTGAAGAAGGATGCAAGTATCGAAGTAAACCACGCGAGAAGCGCGAATGTAAAACACGACGTGAGGGGGCCTACGAGGGATCAAGTAAAGATTGAGGAAATTCCAGTGCATTGACGAGGGAGTGCACAATGAAATCATGATAGCTATAGAGCCAAAGAAACCACATAGCGTGGAGCAAAACGGTGGGAAAGAAATTGATGTGCGACAAATAGGTACCAAGGTGCCATGAAGCAGGCGTAACATCACAATAATCCGAGGAAAGAGAGCATGGTGGTTTTTTGAGATCGATGCGGTGGCGAAGATCTGGGTGAGACGATCAAACTATCTAGGGTTCAGGCGTGAGCGAGACCGTGAACGAGTCGAAGCAGCGCTAGGGCCAGAGTGGCGACTAGGGCCAGAGTCGAAGCGACGGAGTCCTGTCGGTGATGTAGCCGTCGTAGATGTCGTAGAGGTCGAAGGTCGGGAGTCCGGCAAAACGAAGGTGTGAGGGTCCAAAAAGGAGGTGCGTCCACGTAGTTCGGCATCAAGTTGTTCCGGGCGGTGGTTCAATGTGTGAATCAAGCCGTGGAGGGCGGAATGAGTGACCTGCATCGCTTGAAGGATGGCAGAACCCAGGCCGCGTAACTGCACCTGAAGAACCCGACCCAGGAGGGAGTAGAGAGAAACGCAAAACGAGTACGAAGAATCATAGGGATGCCCTCCGTCGCAGCCAAGCCAGCAGCAGAAGGTGGCATGGCAGGTGGTGCGGGGAAGTGTGGGAGAGAACTCATCACACTAAGGCTCCGGCAGACTCCGACAAGTCTTGAACAAGCTTCGGCAGGCGCGGCCACATACGCCGTGCCAAAATGGCTGGCTGCTTTGACCGCTGTGGTCACGTAAAGGCATGAGCCACCTTGGAATTCAATACTTCAGCAAGTCTTGGCAAATAACTTTGGCCTAAGCCTACTTTGTCCGCTGCGGACTGCTTTGTACCCGGGCAGGGGATACGTTCGACAAACCCCCGTTCAACGGGTCCACAGGGGCCACTCTGCGGGGCCACCCTGGGCTCTCACTAAGAGAGACACACTTATAGAAATGCATACTGACTTGACAGCGGTGCCACACGCCGGCCTAAGTGAAAAACCTAAGGAACCAGGACAGGTGTCAGTAAGCCTCAAAACACGAAATGCGAGTAGCGATTAGGAACAGAACCACATGAACCACCATGAAAGCAAACCACAGCGAGAACAACAGGTAACCAGTTTGGCAGGTACGTTTACACCAGCCCCAGCGGAGGTCTTCGTTGGCCACCGCTCCTCTGGGACCACGGTGGCCCCCTGCTGTCACGGACAAGGAAAAGAAAACATTCCGACTGGAACCTCGTGAGCCCAGAGGGGACACACACACACAACCTCAACAATGTTACCCTCAACTGCGTGTGGTAGTTGAACTTTTCACGTGACTTTCCACCCGACTTTCCACATGGCAGACCTTTTGGTGGGCTTTGCAGATTAGTAGTTTATAGTGTGTCCACTACCTCAGTCCAAAGGCATGCGGTTTGCAGAAACAATTGCATATATTGCAAAATTTTTTGAGTCATGCAGTATTATTGTACCTGTTCTTTCACAAGACCCGCTCAAACAATAAAACACCTTTAGCGCTTTCAAACCTGATATGGCACTTAGTTGAGCTACAGCTAGCTCTTCAATGTTTCTGAGCAAGCTTATCCCTTTCTAGTTCAATCATGCGAATCTTGCCCTTGTCACCTTGCTCTCTCCTTCTTTACGACGTCAGACAGTCAATTTTTTGCGGCCATGAAAGCGTGAACGCCTTTTGACATGACTTACCTTGGTCTGAGACAGCTGTGTACATCAGGAACCGACCTGCCTTGTGTGGCTATGCTGATACTTTGGTGAAGGCCGGACCCACCCATACCGGCCTTGAGATGAAATTGTTCCACTTCTCTGAGCAGAAAGACCTGGACACGGCGTGTTTGGAGGAGCAACTTTCTTTGAACGGAGCTGCTTGTGAGGCCTTTGAAGTTTCAGTGCTTTTGCTGGCGACGGCCTCATCCAGCTACTTGTGGTTTGATCAGGAGCATTGCCCAAACAATGTGCGACTTTGCAGGATTTTGACAGAGAAAGTTCAGAAGAAGATCAACCTCGTGATTTGCCCCACCACTAAAAAAACTGAAGATTCCTGGAACTGCCATCCGTGTCTTTCCGAAAGCATCTTCGGCGACTTCATGCGATGTGCTACGGTGCGCGTTTGGAATGGATTTAGATCTGATGCTGAGCAGGTGCGGAGTTGGGCCGTTCACTCGTTTTTTAGAGACCATTTTGCATTTTCCAGGCCCTGCACAGACACCAGTTGGTTCCTCTGCATTTTAAAAATTTGACGAGTGTTTTTGCCCTTGTGTTCGTTCCGCAACATGTTTACGGAGTGACAAGTGCAGGGAGGTGACAGGCTTTTCTGCGCCGTTTACACTTTGCTGCTCGTTGTATGCAGGTCACCCCAATTCAATCGCTCAACCCTTAGCCATCCGATGTACACATTGTGAATCTGACAACATTTTGTGAAGTCGATGAAGATGCTGTGATAGTGATGACGGTGTTGTGAAACATATGACATGGACACAAAAACACCATGGTGCTTCGGCGACGGTCAATGTTGCGCAGACGGCCACGATGTTGTGAAGACAAGGAAAGACTATGAAGTGGTGAAGAACTAGACTTCCATGAAGACGGATAAGACAGATTAAGGTATGAAAAGCATTGTACTCACGACAAACCCTTCTCATTCCCATTCCAATTGCTTGTTCTATGCAGCTTGTCTCACAATTGCTGTGCCTGTCAGTTCTTTGTTGCCTGGTGTCACTTCCTTTTTCTGGTCAGGTGAAGCCGTGGCCTATTTGCAGCCTAGCCTTGAAAGAGGGGGAGACGATTCCACAGCCGAGCGCGACTTTGGCGAAGCCATCAGTAGACAACAGATTGGTGACTCGTTGGCTGCCTTGGCTATTGCTCTTTGGCTCTCATCTCGTATTTTCCCGCTGGGTATCAAAGGTGCAGAGTGATCAAGTGAAAGCACAAGGCTTGGCGCATGATCAAATGAAAGCACAAGGAGTGGAGATTCAGAAACTCCAAATGCAGATCGAAGCGCAAGGTATGGAGATTCAGACACTCAAAATGAAGACACAGACACAAGATGTTCAGATTCAAGCATTGCAGACACAACAGGTTTCTGCAGGAAGTCAGTCCTTTGGGGTCTACTGTCCCAACCTTTTTGATTTGATTTTGTTATTCATTTGTTCATGACCTCTCAATCGATCTGTCCTTCCGCGTGCAGTGAAGATTTTCAACTGGGCAATGAGAGGCGAAGGTGGCGGCAAAAGTTTTGCCCAGACTTCAAAGCCAGCTTCACAACGCAAAAAAAGAGAAGTTACGCGACATCAAAATTTGCAAGCACATGTCTCTCCAGTTCTGAGTGTAAGATCAGCAAGCACAACTGTATGAGAACTTGGTCCTTTTGTAGCTTTAGGTGCTGCTGGTGTGTTTCAAATTGACGCCACTGCCGAAGTTTTCCTGAGACGTTGTGGCCCAGTGTATCGTGCCAGTTCTAGCCTTTGGCAAGCATGGCAGTGCATCCGACTGTGCAGAGGGCATCTCAGGCTCCTCGTGGCCTCAGGGTGACCGTGCGGGCAGACAAGAGCTTGGAGATTCGCTGGCAGACAGAGGATGGAGCTTGTCTCTATGAGCTGCAGATCTGCTACTTTCCTTTCGACGGGCCCATGATTCAGCCCAGCCACTCGAATGTCCTGCAAGTAGAAGGTGCCGCGCAGCATGTGCCGCATCCTGAGAGTCTTGACAAGGGGCAAGCTTGGGTGGTCAAGATTGGCCTGAAGGCTAGGTCTGCAGATGGGCTGTTGAGCGATGCAGCGGAAGCTCAGGTCGCAATGGAGGATCAGCTGCCTGGAGAGGAAGCAAAGAAAGCTCTCGAAGCCTGGACTCGCAACTTTCAGGGGAAATACTTTGCACCCTTTTGCGACATGAGGGGAGAAAACCCAAAGATTCTTGTCCTCGGCCCACAGCACCATGGCAAGTCTTCCTTTGTCAATCATATGAATCGTTGCCTCCTTGCCAACTTGGGACTCCATGATGAACGCGACCAAGCTCCAGCTGGTGTTGAAGAAAAGACTGTCGCTACAGAGGCTCTTCAAATTCCAATGGGCTCCTCACCAGTGACTTTCATCGACACCCCTGCATTTGCCACCATGAATTCAGAGTCCACAAGAAAGCTGCAGACATTGCTGTCAAGCGGCAATTTTTGTGGCCAACGACGCAGTGACCTGGGACACGACGAGTCTAGCTTGTTCAAGAAGCCTCCACATGCAGCCATTGTGGTGATCTCACTTTGCCATTGGCGTGATCAGATGGAGGAAATGAAGATGTACTTGATGAAGATTGCGAATGAGTTCAAGAACGCGTCACAGAGCATGGTGGAGTTTCCATACGTCATCGCAGCTACCCATTGCGATGAGTTCCTGAAGGACTGTCAGACAGAGAACCCAAAGGATGAGCTTGAGAAGGCCGTGCTAGGCATCAAGAAGTTTGCCTTGACGGATCATGTCTATGCCATCACGAACTACAAGCGTGGTAGCATGGCAAGCGCCCGCAACAATGAGGCAACCTTCGACCTTCTCTCCCAGCTCCTCACCAAGGCTAAGCATCGAGACACTGGAGTCAAGCAGACCCGCAACTGGTATGTGGCACATGTGGCTTGTGCCATCACACCAGTGGTGTTGATGGTTATTTGTCGCCTTCTCGGGCGGTTATGAGAAACAAACTATACTTTGTCTCGTTTCTGTGCTGTAGTACAGCTGCTCACTGCTCTTGGTTTCATCAGAACCAAGTGCACAGAGCCAAATTCCGCAAACAGTTCTGGCGGAAAAGGAACCTGTTCCCTGCTACCTTTTCGCTTTGCTAGCTTCCTCCAACCTTGGCGACATAATTTTGGTGTGTTTATTCACCCTTGTTTGCGTGGTTGGTAGGACTGAGACAGCATCATAGATATCAGCTTGTATCCTCCTTTGTGTGCAGCCTGCCTGTGCTATTCAGCTCCAAGTTGCTGGCAAGATTCAGCCCCTCATTCTTCCACCCTTTGGCTGCGTCTGTCCAGGTTGAAGATTCTTCATGCATGTCCAGCAAGTGGTGGCCAGACATAGCCTTCAGGCTCTTCTTGTGTGTTTTTGGTATGTCACCTGTGAATGTCTGAAAGCCTGCTCTTTGGACACAAGAAGATTCCATAGCGATCATAGAAGCTTTCTCAGTGAGCATTGCGAGCATGTTGTTATGTTTCTTTTTCTGAAGGTGAACGTGCCTTCTTTGAGTTTTGAGTGTTTAGCTTTCTTTCCACGGAAAGTTCGGACACATGTCCAACAAGTTTGCTCTACCATCTACCATCGAAGGCTATCGACTCAATCTGCTCGGTCGAGCAGAGTCCCGAGCTCAGCGTGGTTGGTGAACGCCAGACCCGAGCCATGAAGTTGATCTCCGAAAGTGTGGACGGAGTCTGTTTTGAGCAGCATCTAAGAGGTAGGAGCAAAGTAGAGATGCTGAACCTGCTAAATGTGAGCTTTCATGGCAAAAAATGAGTTGGCCTAATGACATGACCAATATTTGCAAGATTTTTAGGGCGCGTCCAGTCTAACTCGAAATCTGTCGGTCCAAGGTTTTGAGAAGTGAGCCCGGATGCGGTCAGGCAAGCCGCCAGGGGTCCATAACGCTCTTTGTGCTTGGGATGGCACACTTAGGATGTTGTGTAAGCTGCCGATTGTCCTTGCCATGCTTTGGTGTTTACTGTGCTGTGCCTGTTAGGCGTTTTGGTCCAAATCGTCCAAGTTCTGAGTTCTGCGGCAGTGCGAAGCATGGCGGTGATTTCGTCTATGCCATCATCTCCTCCAAAGCCGACCGGGCTTAAGGTGAAGGTGCGCCCAGACAAGAGCTTTGAGATTCACTGGCAAGCAGAGGGGGGGGCCTCTCTCTTCGAGTTGACGATCACTTACACTCCGTTTGAGGGTCCTATGTTTCAGCCCAGCCACTCAAATGTGCAGCAAGTCGAGGGCTTTCAAACACATGTGCCGCATCCACACACACTTAGCAAAGCACAAGCTTGGGTTGTGAAGATCAGTCTGAAGGCCAAGTCCGACGGCTCTTGGAGTGATGCAGTTGAGTATCAGATTGCTTGGGAGGACGAGCTTTCTGACCAGGAAACCAGAAAAGACTTGAATGAGAGGATTGAAAGCTTTTTGAAGAAAGACCTTTGTGATTTCATGAAAAGCAAAAATGACCACCCAAAGATTCTTGTCCTTGGCCCCCAGCACCACGGCAAGTCTTCCTTTGTCAATCATGCTTACCGCTGCCTCCATGCTGACTTGGATGTCAGTGACCAGTTGGACCAAGCACCAGCTGGTCCTGAGGAGAAGACACTTGCAACGAAGAGCCTCCAGCTTGATGTGAGTCACTCACAAGTGACTTTCATTGACAACCCTGCTTTTGCTACCATGAGTGATGAGACGCAGGGAAAGCTTCAGACTTTGCTGTCAAGTGGGCATTGTGATGGCCTGCGACGGCAGGATATGGGGCGAGCCGAGGGCAGCTGGTTCAGCAGACCTCCCCATGCAGCCATCGTAGTGATGTCACTGTGCCACTGGCGGGAGGAACGCGAGGAGATGGCAAGCTACTTGCAGAAAATCGCCGGGGTTCTGAAGACGGCTTCGGCAGGCACTGTGGAGTTTCCCTATGTCGTTGCCGCCACCCACTGCGATGAGTTCTTGAAGGATTGTCAGAAAGAGGATCCACGGGATGAACTTGAGAAGGCTCTCGAGGGAATCAAAAGGTCTGCCTCCACGAGCCACGTCTATGCCATCACGAACTACATGCAAGGCAGCATGGGAAGTGCTCGCAACAACAAGGCCACCTTCGACCTACTTATCCAGCTCCTCGCCAAGGCAAATCATGAGAACACTGGAAAAAACAGGATCGTCTTTGCAGTCTTGTGGCATGTGGCGACAGCATGGGGAACAGGAAAACAGGTTGTTGCCCTTCCGTATACTTTGATGAAAACTGCCACAGCAGTCCTTGGTTGGGTTGGACAATGGATCTTCCGGAAAGTCTTCACCCAGAGAAGGGAGCTTGAACGTGGAGCAAAATGAGGGTCGGAAGTAGAGCTGTGCTCTTCTCTGATCTTCTACAGTTGTAGTACAACTGCAAAGGCTCCCAGCACTTGGGCTATACCTACTGCACTCGTCCCAACAGAGGCACTGGTGCCGACAGACAGTAGACGTCTACAGTTCCCTTGCCCACACGTGCGACAGGCATACCGGTCACGAAAAGGATCATTCGAAGAGCCGCCGCCGCCACATCCTCCACCGCTGCTGCTGTCTTCGGACCAATTTTGACCTTTCCAAAATTCACTTGCTCCTTCCACTCTTTGGCGATGTGTGTCACGCATCATCCTGCCAGGTTGAAGAGGCTAAAGTGCAGACATACCGGGTGGCCACAGCCCGCAGGCCCTTTTGTTTGGCGTGCTTGTGCAGATGTAGGTGAGGTGATTCATCTTGCAGCAACGAGAAAGCACTCTAAAGATATTAACTCACATCTTTCACCTTTGTTGCAGGGGGACCTCGGGCTGGCCAG